GAAATCCAGAACCAGAACGCCGCCGTGGCCGTGGCCGTGGCTGTGGCCGGCCAGCACTGAGCACCACTTAAGCAACCCCACCAGGAAACCAAGGAAACCACAGGCACTCAGGAGTTGCCCCTCTGCCCCTCCCAGGAAGGAACACTCTGCAAGGCCAAGTTTCAACCTCTCAGGTGGTTTGCATGCTTCACCTTTGGCCATGAACCTTCTGCTGAAGGCAGGAAAGGAGAAGGCACCCCTCGAGGTGGATCCTCTCTGCCAACGACCAGCAAGAGACAGTCCTGGGGACAATGTCCTCATCAGCAGTGGGCGACGGCGGCTTGGGAAACATCCCTACTTCCTAACTGTAGCACTGCGCTCAGGGAGGACGGCCACAACACCCTGCTCTCTGCTCACGGAAGTAGGGAGGGGGGACAGTGAGTGCTTGGAGAAGCAGGTGCCATGCGCACCCCGGGATGACAGTGCAGCATTTAAACAGGGGGCAGAGTTCCCCGCCCAGTGCTAGCACACAGGCCTACACCATCCTGCAAAGCCTGAGTCCTTGGATGGAGAAGGGAGGTGGAGCCCAGCCAGGTGAGCAGTGGGGGCGGTGAGCGTGCAGGGGCAGCGTGGTTCATGGTGTTCGTAGCCAAGGACTTTCGTGGCATGCCAAGTGCCCATCCCCCAGGGACCTACCGCAGAACTGCAGGTGCCAAGGGACATGGGAGAGAGGCACGGGCAGGGGCTTAGGAGGCGGAATGAGGCCACATTTGGAATGAGAAGGGCATGGTGTCCAATTAAAGGAGGCACCCAGGGGACATCCACGCTTCTACCAAAGGAGCAAAGGGAAGCAGAGCGCTGTCTATCAATAAGGAACGGGGAAAGTGCACTGAGGAGACAGGGAAGCAAATCCGATGCTGTCATGGCCACGGTGGGCTGGACAGGAATGCACCGGACAGAGCTCAAGCACTGGTCTGCGCTGGAGACCGTTATGAGGAAGCTGGGAGACAGGAACAAAGAAAGTGACGAGAACACCCTTATGTTGAAACCTAATCGCCGTGTGATGCTGTCAGGAGCTGGGGCTTCCGGCAGGTGCTCAGGCCGTGAGGGTGCAGCTCTCGTGCACCTGGGGCAGGCCACTCAGGAAGACAAGTGGTGTGGGGTGTACTCAGCTCACAGTCTGGGAGTTGAGAGTCCACAGTCAAGGCCCCCACCTCAGTCTGTCCCCTCAAAGGACACCACAGCTGGAGCAGGTGCAAGGGTGAGAGTTTAGGGGTGAGACGGGAAGCCACAGTCCCTTCCCAGGGCAGTGCCCCAGTGACCTGACAGCCTGCTACTAAGTCTCGCATCCACCAACTCACATCCACATGCTGGGGACCCAGTCTCAACATGACTCCTGGGGGGCGGGGGAGGACATCCTTAAACCACAGCAGCCCCCAGGGGTGGGATTATAGCCCTTTTATAAAAAGAGGCCCCAGAGGAACCTCCCAGTCCTCCCGCCACGGGGGAACATGGCACTGTCCATGAACCAGAGAGGGTGGGTCCTCGCCAGACGCCCAATCTGCCAGCTCATGGACCCGGGATTCCCAGCCTCCAGAAGTGTGAAATAAACATCTCATCTCTAAGCAGTGCAAACAGATAAGTCAGAGACCACCAACCATCACAGAACAGACCAACCAGGGAAAGGCAGCAGGAGAACCCAAGGAGGGGGATGGGAGACGAGAGCCAGGGGCAGGCGGTGGGTTAAGCCACCACTTAGGCACCGGCATCCCGTATTGGAGGGCCTGCTTCGAGTCCTGGCTGCTCTGAGCTTCTGAACCAATTTCCTGCTAATGCATCTGGAAGGCAGCAGATGACGGCCCAAGTACTTGGCTTCCTGCCACTCACGTGAAGACCAAGATGGAGTTCCTGGCTCCTGGCTCCTGCCTTCAGCCTGGACCAGCCCCAGCTATGGCAAGAAATTGGGGAATGAACCCACAGATGAAAGATATGCATGTGTGTGCATTCTCTCTCTCTCTCTCTCTCTCCTTTATCGAAAGGACCAAGCCATACACAATTCTCAGAAGGGCTAAGCAAGCTTCAGGAATAACTGAAAGCTGCATTAAGTCCACCTCAAATCATGAGAGCAGGCAGACACAGAGGAGCGCGCAGAGACGCCTCAAAGCGGCAGCTTCCTTCACAGCGCAGTCTACCACGCTGCCAGCCGCTGCAGAGTCCACGGGAGGGTCACGTGAAAACGAGCGTCAGCACCCACAGCTGAGTGTCTCCCTCGGGGCCAACAGCTGCATGCACACCCCACCTGACGTTTCTGGCCGGAGGGTCTTCTTGCTTCTGCAGCCGTCAAGGAAAGACCAACTGGGGTTCTTCCAAGCCTAAGCTTTCCCACCAGCCATCTTAATGCCTGTGCTGAACTGCAGGCAGAGCTTCCGTGTGGACGCAGTGCCTGCACCTGCCTCCTGGGACGATCGCTGAGTGTCCAGGTGGGGGAAGTGCAGCAGCCGGTGGGTCAGAGAGACGAGGCGGGGAGAGTGCAGGGCCCAGAAGGAATCTAAAGCAGTGCTCCCCGGGAGAACAGAGCACAGGGCACCTGCAGTTTCCAGTGTTCCCTTAGCCACGTTCCAAAGCAAAACGTAAAGGGTGAAATTAATAAAACATTTTGCTGAATCTAATATATCTGAAATGTTATATTTCAACAGGTAATTGATATAAAAATTATTAAGGAGAGATTTTACAAGATTTTCTCACGCTGTGTCTTTGAAATCCAGTGTGTATTTTACATTAGCACAGGTCTCACTTCAACAGGCCACCATTCTAATACTCTGGACCGTGGCTTGTGGCTACCCCAGTGGACGGTGCAGGTCTGATGGGAGTCCACACAGGGAAAGAGTTCAGTGTTAACTAGGAAACCCCCAGAGAGCACACCCATGCCTGCATTTTCAGGATAAGGGGAAAGGGGAAAATGATTTCCCCAAAGTGGTGATTAATTTTAAATAAGAACTCCATTGTGAAATCACAAACACATCAGCAAGACTGAGCCTAGCGGCTGAGAAGCCCGCAGGGCGTGACGAGGGGACGCAGGCGTCAACCAGAGCCCACAGTCCAGCCCCACCACTCCCACGGTTCTCTCCCTCTTTCTCCTTTTAATCTTCCGACAACCCCATGAGGAGAGCAGGATGGGTCCCGTGCTGCAGATGAAGAAGCCAGGCTCAGCCAGCTTAAATCACTTGTTCAGGTCCAGGCATTGCTCTTAGAGTGGACCCAGAACTCAGCCCCCCCACTCCCCCACCCCCGCCCCAGGCTCCCTGGCCAAGCGGCTGCTCAGGAAACAGTGGGAACCCCTCAGAGTGAAGTCCTTGCTGGATCACTGAGCAAGGGCACAGCCCACCCAGTGACTTTTAAATGGCACCTCCCTTTGCACACAGCTTGCGAGTTTTCAAAAACACTGTTATGCACACACTTGATCACCATAAGGGGTCACAGGCGACTGCCCTGAGCGTGATCTAAAGATGTCCAACTACAGCTCAAAGGGCGGTCTCGTCCAGCTCCCTTGGGACCCTCAAAACCCACCCCACGTTTCTCCATGATCCCCACACTGTCCCTTTCACCCCTAGGACACATTTTCAAATGTCAACTCGACTTTAACATTCTATTTTGTTGGTTCCCTCAGACAGTAGGTATGATCTAAGGACAGGGCGCAGTTTTGATCACAAAGGTGACTAGCACAGTGCCCTGCTCCAACTCTGGCCAGCGGTTCTCCCACAAGGGGCCAGACCGCGCTCTCAGCTCCTCAGGGTGCTGCCCTTCCTCATCCAATTGTCACCTACACACCAAGTGTCCGAGTGCACGGTGGGTCCCAGAAGAGGCCTCGTGCTCCAAGTGGGCCCTGGCGGAAGCAAGACAAACCGAGGGCCAGCGTGGGGCCCAGCTTTGCTTTGATTCTACACACCCCACAGCGCCAGCAAGCCTACCAACTTCACCAACTCAGGGTTTCTTGGCTCCTCCTGACTACAGCATGTGGGCTCGCTAGGTCTTTAACTGGGCCAGTCACGAAATAACAGCTATTTATAGCTCACATGCAGACTTCCAAGCCGTGAGGGGAACCTTCCTGGCCCACAGACCTAAACACTGCTGAGTGCCATTAGGCAAATGCCCAAAGTCACATTTTAGTCCCAAACAACCCGGCTCCCAGGGGGTGGATCACATCAGGACAAGGGTGCCTTTCCCCTTATCCTGAAATCGGCTCACTGCAAACGAAGCAAGAAGCCTCAAAAGACCACCACATCACCCCCGTGACTCCCGGGCACCGTGCCTTCAGTGGGTGACTTGTGACTTCAGGGCATTTTCACAGCTGTTCAGGAATCAAGTCTAACCGAAGTCTGGGTTTTAAAAGGCCCCTGGCTACACAGCTGCCCGTAAAGACAGCCTGCACCTGGGTCTCCTAGGGAGACAGGCGGAGGGGCCTCCCCCTGGGGCTCCAGGCCCCAGTAGACCTGTACCCCCAAGCACCATCACAGAGACGGAAGGAGCACCTTCACGGACGTGAATTAGCGCCTTCCTCCCTCCCTATTCACCACAGTCCACGTCCATTCACGCTACGGAGAAACCGCCAAACCAGTAACAAGTCCTCCACGCAACAGAGGAAGGCCCATGGCTGCCAAGAGTTCGGGACACCCAAGTGCACCAAGTCACTTTCTCACCAGAAATGCAAAGCCAGAGGTCAGCAAACTTCTGGTCCAGAAGTGTGCTGGGGGATTTCTACCACGGGGTCTGAACAGCCTGAGGGCGGCCAGGAGGGCCTCCCGTCACACCACGGTCCTGCACCCGCAGAGTTGCCACATGCAAGCAAGAGCCAACCAAGACCCCGCCAGGAGCCTCCTGCACTCGGCAGCCGTGCCCAGTCCTAAATGCAACAGGGGAAACGGGTGCATTCCCGGGGAGGGGAGCGAGGAGGAGGAGGAGGAGGAGGAGGAGGAGGAGGAGGAGAGGCGGCTCGGGGACGCCGCGGCCAGCGGCACACTTACTTTTCTGGCAGCGGTTGGTGGTCCAGCAGCGGTAGTTGTACTCGTTGTTGATGGCGGTCTTCTCGCACAACGGCTTCTCCTCCAAGGTCCCTGGACACATGTCCCCGCACTCCTTTGGGGACTTGTTCCCCACAATGTAGTTGTTGGACACGGCGTCCAGGATGAGAGACCAGTCCACCGTGGAGAGGTAGCAGAGGTCGGCGTTCTTCTCGATCCTGATGGCCCCCCGGGTGATGTTCCTCAGGTTATAGAGCCCTATGTCTTTGAGGTTAGTCATCTCGAAAATGACCAGGGCATAGTTGTAGAAGAGCTTCCAGCCGCGGATGACCGTGAGGTTGGGGAACAGGTCCCCGAGGCTCTCCAGGCCGGCCACGCGGAACAGCAGCAGGTACTCGGTGATGACGGTGAGCTTGGGGAAGCGGTAGTTGCGGTAGTCCTCGGCCTTGGAGATGAGCAGGATGTGGAGGAAGCCCTCGATCACCGTGCAGTTCTCCAGGCGCTTCAGCTGCTGGAAGTCATTGCGGATGTCGATGCCCGGCCCGCAGACTGCAGGACAAGGGAGGCACAGGGGTCGGTTACAAGGGAGGCATTTGTAAAGATCGCTTTCCAACCCACGGCCCAGCCCCTTTTCAGAAATCCTCCATTCTAATTATTAAAGAAGCAGGACTCGGGTCTTCACCACTGACTCACTCGAGCTGCAGGCTGCTCTCTGGACAGCTGACCAGTTAGCTGCGATGCACGAGGTGCCCGCAGGGGGCCAGGCACTGTGCAACCCACTCTGCAGCCTGGGAAGGGCTGCCCCATCCAACACACAGACTAACGGCTAGGGCCCAGGTGCTGCTGGGTACAAACAGAAGTCAAGGTGCATCCCAGGCCAGTCTGACCCCACCAACGAACACTCCCAGCCTGACCCCACCAACGAACACTCCCCGGCCCTTCTGACCTACAACTCCGGCGCCTAATGCCCAAACAGAAGCCCAAGTCAACGCTGGAGGTCAGCCACTGGGGCCGGAATGGGACTCAGATGTGTGCGGCCACGTTCCCTGCCACCACTGGGCAGTGGTTTTCCCGACGCTGCGTTAATGTGGGTACAAAGGCTACCTTCACAGAAAGATTTTAAAAAGTGACTTTTCAGGAATAAAAGAGTACAATTCCAACTTTAATGTGTTCTATTAATCAGGAAAGCATGCTTCCCATACAGAAGTTGATACCAAAAAAAAAAAGGAAAAAAGTCACCAATGCGGTCTAATTTACAAAGGTAATCACTAAGATACCTTATACCAATTACTCTTTCTTCATAAATAATTCAAGGTAAATGAAACCAGACAATACCATTTACACTTCCCTCCCTTATCATGAACATTTTACCAAGGTAGTAAGCGGCCTTGTGTATCATCATTTTAAGGGGACAGTAATTCTGGAGTATGGCCATGATTAACCAGCTGCCTACGTCGGGCACTTTGGCTGTCTCCCATCTGACACATCATAAACTGCGCTCTCGTGAACATTCTCAACAGATAACCAAGACTACTACTTAGGATGACCCCCTACAAGTGAAACTGCTGGGCCAGTGCACTTGCAGATTTCAAAGGTTTTTGATAAAATGTCCTCAATACTGGAAGACTTTATTTGTAAAGTTCTAGACACACATACCAAAAAGAAAAAAAAGAACCCTTGGTTGTGATTCTTTGTAAGGATTTAATAATGCCGAAACCGCAGTGTCAAAGCTTTTCAGGGATGGGCATGGTGACACAGAAGGTTAGGCTGCCACTCACAACGTCAGCATCCCCTAGCAGAGCACTGGTTCAAGTCCCGGCTGCTCTGCTTCCAACCCAGCTCCCTGCGATAAAAATGGACAAGTACTTGGGTCTCTCTCTCTCTCTGCCTCTCAAATAACTTTTTTTAAAAGCTCAAACAAGTAAAGTTTTCTTTGCTTGTTTGTTTAAATATATCTGAGCAGGGTCAAGTTCTGTGATCCATGAAATCCACTCATTTGTGAAGCATCTGACCCATAAGGCACATGAGAAACACTCAGAAGCAGTGCCCTGACACCATCCCCCAATCCCTCCCCCAGCCCCTGCCACGCAGGAGGTCCCAGTGAAGGCCAGGAGCTGAGACCCACACTGAGCACACACCACACCAGGAAGGCAGTGGTCAGGGGGTGCACACGGCAAGCCCATTCCAGATGTGAACTGAACGACGCAGGACAGACCAGAGGTGGGACTTAAAACTGCATAGAACTTTCCAGAGCCCAGAGGCATGGATGAGCAAGATGTGTTCTGGAGAGAACAGGTGTGAAGGTCAGGAGTGAGAGAACAGAGCCCAAGCCATGAATGGTGGCATGTGGGGGAGAGAGCTTTCATCCCCCAAGGAAGGAGGCCCCTCCCAGTGGGAGAGGAACCAGAGTAAGGACCTTGGGGTGATGAGTCTAGAAGCTGACACGGGACAGAAGGCTGTGACAAGAGAAAGGGGCAGGGTGGCCCTGTGGGGTGGGGCAGCACCAAGGGGAAGTGGCAGAGACTGCGGGGGGTGGACAGGAGGCAGAGGAGCAGGCAAAGCTTTGCCAAAGAGGAAATGTGGTTCTAAGGCAGAGAGAGGGGCCAAAGCCAGCACTCGGAAAACCCAGGAGCCGGAAGCTGTGCGGAAGCTCCCAACAGGCCCAACATTCGATAACATCATCGACACTTTGAAGGTGAGAAAACAGACTCGGAGAAGTTGAGTCGACGTCATCTAAGGTCTCACGTTCAGGACCCCAGCCACAGTCCCAGCCTCAGCGTCCTCTCCTGTGCCCACCTCCTCCGAGCTTCCATCCCCAGCACAACACCGACCAGCCCTTAGCAAGGCCACAACAACAATGCCAAAGCCCAGGACACTCGGTCGTCCTCAGGTTGACCGAGCCCCGGAGCCACGCGGCACTGCCTCCTGCTCTGGGCTTCCCGATCCCACACCCGCCCTCTGACTACTCCCCACCTCCCTGCCCTCGAGAACCAGCCCCTTCTCCCTCACAAGTGCCTCCCATGCCACCCATCCCCCGGGTGATGCTGAATGCACAGACTCCTCTACCACCTGCCTCCACCGCTCCTCCAACTGCTCACTCATCCCCTCGCCCCAAATCCGCCGCCCAGGCTACCACTCCCGTCCTCCAACATGCTCAGGCCAGACGCCAGAGCCCCTCCTGATGCTCCCAGCCCCACACCACCTCCTCAACGCCGCCTCCAAGCCCAGGGAGCTCAAATGTTCTTGGATGCTCTTCCCTGGGTGACCCAACCTCCTCCCTTGGCTCACTGTTCTCCCTGGCGCCATTCACTTCCCTCCCAGGGTGTGTCTGCCCCCATCAGGACCTGCTCACTCCCTCCCACCACAAAGGCAGCTCCAGGAGGATGGGAAATTTCTATGGCGGCCCCACTTACATCCCCAGTGCCTACTACAGGAGCTGGTACACAGTGGCTCATCACAGGACCAACAGGAGGAAGTGTGGACTCCACCACACCCATGTCTCACCACTGGGACCCTGGGCTCATCTCAGCAACATCCCAGCATAAGCTGGTGTCCCCGCAGCCCATCAAGTCCACTGAAACCCTACAGGAGCTCCCCCTACCCTCCTCACCCCCATCTCCTGGTATGTTCTTCCTGCATTGTACACTGTGGCTACCAAACTCCTGTCCTCTTCACACCTGCTAACTGGAGGCTCCCTCTCTCTCTCTTTCTCTCTCTCTCTCTCTCACACACACACACACACACACGGCTGCCCTATTCCCCTGCCATATGGATCCCGATTCTAACATCACCTTCTCAAAGCTCTGCCCCAACACCTTAGCTTCCTGTGGCCCTAACTGTCCCCTTAGCTCCTTCCCCACCATTGTCCCATCTGCCACTTGACCATCTCCCCCTCACCTAGCTCTGGTCATTGAGTCAACATCCTTGAGCCCTAAGGGGCCTATGTCTTGGGGGTGGAGGGGGAGTCCCATCACTTCATTCTTATTCCTCCTACACTAATGAAAATTCAGTACATGAATTTGCTCTTCAATAACACATTTGTATAGAGTAGTACATGAATTCAATCCATGTTTGACCACATTATAGTGTTAGGCAACAATTAATTTGCTACCATTGCCAAGAAATCACACTTGTACCCAGAGAAGAGCATGAAGACAGACAACTTTCAGTAGCTGTGCTGTCTCCTCTCCAACAACAATGCAGACCGTGGGGAAGACACTCCCGCCTATGCCATCTGCATCTCCTCCATGGCCAGGCACACAGCTCAGTTAACGGAAGCCGCGCTCGGCGCTGGAACTGGCAGCTCCTTCTCCATACTCGACACTCTCCCCCCATTTATAGAACAAAAGAAAGGAAGAAGGAAAAAAGTGTCCGCACGTTCCGGAAGAAAAGACAAGCCCAAGCAACCAAGCGCGAGGCTGGGCCCAGCGACCAGCTGTTCCGGGTTCTGTGACTGACACTGCTGGTCCCTTGGACGCTTTGTGATGGAAACAGGAAAAAAGGGAAACCAAGCTGGACTGTGAATGCTAGCACAGCGTTCAGAGAGCAGAAGCCACAGCCAGGAAACAGAATCCGACACGCCTCACAGCGCGCAGAAGGGGAGACGCACCTTGTGCTGCTACTCACGGATGATTCAAAGGAAATTTCAAAATGCCACTCTCCCTCCCTTTAAAGCAACAGGTATCGGCATGATTAAAAAAAAAAAAAAAAAAAACAACTTTGGACCTCAAGATCCCAAGCTGACTCATAAAACATCAGGGAAGGAGGTGGATGTGAGGGCAAACAGGAGGCAGAAGGGACACAGCCGGGAGGTGGGAAGAGCTGGCCCCCAAGCCAGCAAGCCACACAGCAGGACCAGAACAGACGCTGGGAGTGCGGGAGGCAAGAGTGGAACACAGGTGGTGTGAGTGCTAGGCAGGTGCCAGGGGCAGAATTTACTTCCCTTGGACATACCATTGACATATGTCTTCCAGTTGAAAAGAACAATGATCTCAAAAAAAAAAAAAAAAAAGAAGAAGAAGAAGAAAAAAAAAAAAAGAAAAGACACCTATTTTTTAAAAGATCAAGATACAGAATCTCTGCTCTAAGAACTGAGGTGAACAGCATAAACTTACTGTACAATTTGGAAAATAAACCCTAAAACTGCCAAGATGAGAGGGGCTAGTGGGCAGCATTTGGCAGAGAATATCCCCCAACACTGTGTGTCTGAGTACGGGGTGGGGGAGACAGGATCGCACATCTGTGATGCACGTATGTTCTGCATACACACAACCTGGGGTACTGGAGGAGGACTCTGCTGGGTGTCCTACAGTGCAAGGGGCTGGTGCTCCTGCCCCCCAGTGGGGATGCCCCCCATCTCAAAGCCTCAGTTGCTTCACCTGTAAATGGGCTGTTTCTTCCTACACTGCAGGAGCTCTGTCAGAACACTCGGGTAAGAGCTAGGGTTTCACTGTCAACAGTAATAAGTGTCACTTGATCTCTCTAAACACTGAGGAAAAGATCCGCCCACTCTGTTGCCCCAAAGTATTACAGCATAAACAAGGGGGGGG